TGTTGATAACAGTTTGATTTCGGACTTGGACAATCAACCATAAAATTTTAGCATGCGTTTGTTCCGAGCAATTGCAGTTCACTTGAACGGGTCAAATAACATGGATACTTGAACATTTTTTATTAAATTTTTGCAGAAAAAGTTCGAGAAATGGCTTTAAAAATTAGATGGGTTAAAAATAGAACACAAGAAGGAATGAAAGTTATTTTAAAATGCTTCAATAGAACGTAAAGTTGGTCTCGATTTAACCTGCTGGGGAAATCTTCTGTGCGAGGACTGTAGAAAAATCTATAATTACGAAATGCAAACAATTGCAACTCTGGAGTCTGTTCTATTTCAAACTTATTTATTTTTCTGAAACGTAGTCACACAATGTAAATTTAATTGTCGACTTTATTTTCGAATTTTCGAATTTTATGCGACTACTGGTAAGAGCTATTTTCCGGTGCCTTTTCCTTGAGTCATCGAGTGTGTGGAAAAATGCTTGTCATACAATTTTCATACAATTTTGAAAATTGGTTCAAAAATATATAAACTATTTTCTGCGGTTGTTTGATTCTATTAAAACAGTCTGGTGAAAAAAAATCGATATAAAAATCAACTTTTTGTTTATGGAAAAACACCTGTCATACAATTTTCATATATGGAAAACTGTTTATCATAGAGATTTCATACAATTTTCTGTACGTATGCAATTGTATGAAACTGTATGACAAGAAGTTTCTCATATATGGAAATTGTATGATAAGAAGTTTTGGTCAACCCGGGGGCTAAGCAATACATCGTATTTCATCGTTTTCAGTCATGATTGAATCTATATAAAAATCGGACAATATTTTCCAATGTCGCTCTTCAATAAGTAATACAACTTAACTCAAATTGATTCACAATAATATATAGTTTCAATTGATCTTTTCAACCTGCTGCCACCGGCGTATCTTTAAAATCCGATCACTCTCATAGGTTAAATTAGACCGCCTAATTATTGTTTTAGGCAACTTTGTCTAACTCAAAGGAAGCTCTCAGAAGTCTTGTGCTGTATCATATTAAAGCCCTTCCAGTCGTGATTCGGATTCTTCAAAAAAATTATGATAAGGGTAGCAAATTGCTATGTTGCTATGTAAAACGCACTGAAAATTCCGACAAAAAAAAACAAATTTTGAGCGGATATGATCAAAGGCGTAGAAAATAGGGTTTAGCGACACAACACAAGCATAATAAAAACAAAAGAAGTAGAAAAAAAGTGAAAGAAAAAAAAACTTGTGGACAAAAATTACGTAGTCTCGATAAAAGACACTTAGGAGGGTAGCTAAAGCTGGAGGTACGTGTTTGATACTTTGAATTTTGAAGATTGATGCGGGACAATTTGCGTTATTTCACAAATTGGACTTTGCCCAAAACCTTAGTTGTTTCCATACTCAAATAAGTGACATTTCCCAAGGACAAAAACATTCTCCTACAAAAACAAAAAATTCTGCAGAAAAAATTTTTGCAACCGTTTCATTCAATTGACCTTTTCATCTCAGTTTTGATAGGGTAGTTTATAATAAATTTCAAGAAGTATCTAAAAACAGTTGAAAAAATTCTTTTGACTTTCTTTGAAAACTTTTGACTTTCTTAAACAAAAAAACCTTTTCTCCAAAAAGCAAACCACGACTGTTGAAGTAGTGAATACTCCCAAAACCGGGTTTCTCGATTAAAGGGTGAACTTGAGAATTGGTACGGTAGTTTCTGAGAAAATCAAAAAAAATTCTAACACACGGTCATTGTTTCAAAACTTTGATTTTTTTTCCGAAAAAAATTCGGCGTAGTCAACTACAAAAGTACACTCACAACAACCTGTTGTTTAGGTTAAACTTATGATATCAGATTTGGCGGGTTTCCATCGAAAAAAGTCCAAAAAACGGCCATTAAATCAAGACCTTGACATTTCTGAGAATCATAGCTTTTTGTGTAAGAAAATGGGCATAGCCACTTATGTTCGAGAAGTTCACGCAACCTGTTATTTCGATTGAATCGAAAAACTCAAAGAGTTTTTTTTTTCAGAAAATTGAATGAGTTTCAGGAAACAGTCAAAATATCGAAATTTCAAAACTTTTTGTGTAGAAGAAATTTGGGCGTAGTAGTGTATGTAAAAGAGCTTTCCTCAACCCATTTTTTGGATTGAACTCGAAATCTCAGATGAGCGGATAGTGTTCGAGAAAATTTGAAAGTTATAAACTTTTTTTTAATTGCGTTATTTCTATTGAACCCAGACTCTTATATTTAGGAGGTTAATTTTCTAGAAAAATAAAAACACGGTTAAAAAACAAAAAAAAAAATATTCCGAGCTCAAATTTTTTTTTGGCGGAGCCGTTTATGCAAGGAAGCTTTTCATTGACGGTTTTAGTCGACCAATTCTCAACTTTGGAAGGGTAGTTTTCCAGAAAATGAAAAAAATTATATGGGTCAAACATTCCCTCAGACTTTTCTGAGGGCTGTAGACAGAGGTATGATAAAAATAGAATAGGGAAATAGGCTGTCTTTTTTTGATACCCATTTGAACATCGGTAGTATAGTTTTTGAGAAGAACTACAATTTTTCTCAAGCTGTAGAAAACCTTCCAAAGCGTATAAAAACATTAAAAACCCAATCCCATACGTTTTCATAACACCTGTTTTTGTCAAATAGAAGTTTTAGGCAAACATTTCAAGTTATATATTTGAATTTTAAATTAGCAACGGAACAAAATTTACGGAGCAATCACAGAGCCAAAAATTTTTTTAAGCAGACACAAATTGATCCGGAAAAAAAAAGATTAAATAAAAACTTTGCCAAGTTTCATTTCCCCCTGACACTGCAAGGAACATTATAACATACTACGAGCTTACAGCACAAAATAATCAGTGATGTTTGAATATTTGTTCCTTATCACTTCCAAATCTTTTATCACCATTCATTTGGAACAAAAATTTGGAACAAAAAACCCACTTTGAACAAAAAGCAGAGATCATATATTAAAAATGAGGCGAACTTTAGGCAAACACAAGCAAAAAAATGCAAAAAAGCTCGACAAGTAAAAAAAATAAGAAAAAATGTTGAGCTAAGTAAAATTTTGCTGTAGTCCAGAATCTATCCTCCGACCGCGAAATTACCGGTGACATCAAATCATCTCAGTATGATTAATTTCTTTGATTCAGATTAGGGACGTTGGAATTGGAATTTGATTCGGAATTCGGAAATTGAGATTTAAAAGTCCAAAATAGATCACAAGGTCAAAAACTCTGAAGTTTATAGCGTCAAAAATTCTGAAGTTTATGAAAAATTTCGTTGAGACAAGAAATACTTTACAGCTTATTTTTCCGATTGAATCCTTAATTTTAGATTTCTCATCGCAGTTTTCGAAAAAATCAAAATTTTTCCAAAAAAAAACAAAATTTTTTAGATTTTTTCCTATTTTCAACATTGATTTTGTTTAAAAATTAGGGTGTAACCGCTTTGCAGAGACATTTCCTAGCACCTAGATTAAACACTTTATGTTAGATTTTGCCGCGTAGTTTTGGGCCTCAGATTTGGCACATTAGTATCGAATAGGCGAGAATTTTCCAAAAAAGGTCCGAATTTTACAAGCCATAATTTTGGTTCCTCCAAAATTAGGATGTAGAAACTAATGCATAAACGATCATCGGAAAATGAAAATCAAAATGGTTCAAAAAATTCTCTTAAAATTTCGAAGGTTGTAGAATATCGTGTGAAATAAAAAGAGACTAGCGGAATATGCAGGCACACTGAGGTGTAGTCGTAGTCGGTCTTTTACTTGCCACAATTTTTTTGATAATCAGTGAAAATTTGCCATATCGTCTCAAAAAGTAAGCATAGCCAACTGACAAATGGAGAAGAGTTATGAACGCATAAACAGGAAAACTGGCTTGTTTAAAAAAACCATCCTTCGAATTCGAAAAAAAATGATGCAATCAAAATTTTTCGAATACGAAAACATTTTGCAACTGGTGCTTTTTCGATGAAACTAACCGACTTTGACAAAATTAGATCAAAAGCTAAATTTTCAATTCGGCTGGGAAGCCTGAACATTTAAACCATTTTCGAAACTAGAAGTCGATCAAGTTTTTGGTGACCTTTTGCTGTTCGATAGTGGACTTTGGGCTCATTAAATCGAAGGAAATCAATTGAACTTAAAAAGAAATCAAAATTCAAACCGCGAAAAACCTAACAAACTTTATAAGTTTCCTGAGAAACAAAAACGGACAAAAACTTATCAAAAAAATTTAAAAGACTTATATACTCTTAATAAAAAAACAAATCCAGTGTTTTCACAAGACCTAATTTTTTAAACAGATGCAAAGCTTCGCTTCGCAAACACTTGCGCAAAAACGACAAAAAGCAGCTCTATATTGTGCAATAAAAAATTAGACATAAGCATAGAATGAGTGAACAATCGTCTAACTTTGAGATTCGAACCTGCGACCTAGTGATTAACACTCTCACACACTAACCACTCAGCCACGGAAGCATAAGACATCAAACACTAGCCACGAATAAAGCAGAGAATAGCTGCTAGGCAACTTCCTTTGCTACAAAGAAATTTCCAAGTAAGTGAACACTTAAAAGAACAATTTCATTTGCGAGTTAGGTTAGAAAAGAAGGTTCGTAATAACACACTAAGCTTCTCGCAAGTGTAATTAAGAGGAACTAGACAGCAATAAACCAGATACAAAATTATTTTGCTACGCAGCAAAAGTAAATCAGATATGAAAATGCAAAAATGCCGCCAAAGAAATGAGCACTTTTCTTTGCGACTGAAGTTCGAAAAAAGTAGATAGCGAAATATGAAACTACTATCCGATTTATGGCACCCTTGCCGAAACTCCAGACTGACGATATTTGGCAAAATACTCTGCACCGCAGGCAAATCTTCAGAAAAGTCCCGTTTGTTTTGGAAAATTTGGTCAAAATTGCTCTTTTGCGGCGCTCCCTCAAAAATGCTACTTAACAATCACAAGTTCGAGGAAAAACTAAATTAAACAAAATTGTCAGCCAAACTAACCTTTACTATTAAAAATCACAAACTTGTTCAAAGCATGCGAAAAGCTACAGTTTTGGGATGAGTTTAACATAGATTGAAATCTATCTGAGGCTTTTTTGATTTCTAGTTCTTCTGATTTTCCCATTTCTCCCACAAAATGATTTTTATGTTTTTCATCCAGTTTCGCTTCCGCTGATGTCAGTAATTTGACCTCTACTGCCTCATCTGGGTAGTCAGAAAACACTGAGATTTGAAGGACAGCAACTGTTTCAGAATTCCTAAAAAATGATAGAAATGAAAACTTGGTTAATTAGTCATAAAAACATAACTAAAAAAACACTTTAATTGGAACTTTGTCTTCTTGGATTCCTTAAAAGATTTCAAAATTCATCGAATATGTGTTTTTTTTTAATTCAGCAGTTGAGTTGAATTCAGCTCAGTTTAAACTCCCATATAGCAAGTTTATTTTTTTACCGAACTCAAAACAGTAGAATTAAAAATGATAAAACTGAGCAACTTCAACCAGAAAACGAACCTTTTGTTTTTCAGGCAGCAATTTAACACAATCGGGTCTGACGAATAGTTAAAGTCCTTTGCAAACTTGATGTCGAAATTCTCCGAATTCACTGCTATTTCTTTCTGCAGTTGCAACTTCAATTCTTCTCTTTGCGAATCGACCTCGCTTTTATCGTTGTCAGTTTCTAACAAGTAGGATTCGATTCCCACCTTCGGCTTCTTGCCCGGACACGTGATCAAGGACCCCTTCGCGATTCGCTTTGGTTCATTGAAGACTTTGTTCAGGTTGTAATTGAGACTCGGCATAGGGAGAATATCGGTGATGGCACGGATGACCTATTGGCGAAATGTTTACACATTTGGTAAATTTGATTTCGTTACAATATTTCCAACCAACAAATCCAGCAATGGTTTTTTCAAGGCTTATGATCAATTTATCAACTATATTTAAACATCGCCATTAGACAGTCGGTCATTGAGTGCAACAAAACAAATGAGCGCAACATAAGATTCAATGAGCGCAACAAAAAATATATATGACCTGAAACTTCTTTGAATATTAAGATAAACTAAGGAGACTTTTTTGATAAAATTAACCCAATTTGAGAAAATTGTTTCAATAAGTAAATTATTATTTCCACTAGGATATCTAAAAATGAAAATCTACTTTCGAAGCTGGAAGCCGATCATGATTTTTGTGACCTTCACACTTTTCTGTTCAATAATGAAGTTTGCCTTCAATGAAACAAACGAAACGAACTGAACTTGAAAAGAAATCAAATATCGAAAATCATCACGACCTATATAAAAATTTTCACTTCGTTGAATAACTTCTAAAAATTGCAACAACAAATTTTTAGCAACGTTGATAACGAGAAACCCTCATATCTTTTCATTTTTGAAGAATCAGTTTTTCCAAAAAAACAAGTTTTTTCTCTATTTTACAGCTAGATTTGCTCACTTAAAAAAATTAAATTCAAGGCTAGTTTGTACTTTCTCTCTCATTATGTGCACTATACTTTCAGCAAACGTTCTACGAGGACGCAAAGCTGCACATTGCAAGCACGAAAAAACGGCAAAAAGGAGCTCTATAAATTCACGGAAAAAACAATGATTTTGAAAATGAAATTCACTTTGAAAAAATGAAGAACCCTCCAACGGGATTCAAAATACGATCCGCGCGGACTACTAATGTCCCTGTGCAGTGAAGCTTTCCCTGTTGCAGTGAAGCTAGCTCACGATATGAATATCACAAACATAGACAACCTACTTAGAAAAGAACAAGGAAACCGAACAAAAAACCTTCCTTTCCCTGTTGCAGTGAAGCTAGCTCACGGTACGAATATCACAAACATAGACAACAGATACTTAGAAAAGAACAAAGAAACCGAACAAAAAAACTTTTTTTAAACTTTCGAAGAAAAAAACGTATCACGTTGAAGTTTTTTGAATTTAAACACTGTTCATGTGTGGCCCTTTTTTGTAATATTATCCCATTTCAATTATTTTGTAAAGTTATCTATCCCATTTAGAGAAAACTGGAACAACTTGTTAATTTTTTTCCGCTGAAAAACCTCAACCGTACAACCCACTTTCGAAATTTTAAATCACGTTTTTCGCGACCTTTACACTTTCGCTGTTCAATGATGGATTTGGCCTTTATTAAACAAATGAAATGACCTAAAATTAAAAAGCAAACATAAGTCAAACCGCAAAAAAATGAAATTTGAGCTTGAACAAATTTTGAGACTGTCTTCTCAAATACCTGAATTTACACTTAACCAGATATGAATGAGCTTTTCAACTACTATACTTTGATGCTATATAGAATCACTTCGAAAAAAAAACCATAAAACGAAAAAAGAACACAAAGATAATACAGAGGCGAAGCGGAGCTTTGCATCAATTTTGATGCACAATTTATGCCTATGGTTCGAAATAAAAACATGAATAAAAACATACAAATGCAATGCATATAATGCAATGGGTTTTCGAGAAATACTTGAAAACAGGTCCATTGGAAATTTTCATTCAGATGATTTTTATTAAGCTCTTAAGTTCAACAATATTACCGTGCCAAAAATTTGCGCAGCACTTTACAGAACTGCATTAACTCTACAACTGACGATAGCTTTTCCATCGGTAACTGCTAAATAAAATTATCAAAAAACAAATAAGCTAAAAGAAACTTCATCATCATTAACCTTTCAATGAAAAACTTCATCACAAAAATCTCCAAAACAGATGATTTTTTCTTGCTTAAAAACGCAATTCTAGCAATTGAAAAAGGCACTCATAAAAATTTCAGCCGAAACTTGAAATTTTAGTTTATACAGTGCTGATTTAAATTATCCGGACAAAATGAACAAAACTTGAATTTTCAAACACATTTTTCTCAAATTGGGTTAGTATTAGACAAAAAATGAAGAAAACAAAAGTTGTAGAAAACAAAATGTAGAATGTCATCTGAATTAATATGGTGCGAAACTAATTTTTCTTCGAAACTCCCAACCAATATTTTACCCCAAAAATGGGCCATTTGGCTTTTTACCATTAATCAAAAATTACGCTGAAACTACTTTGTATATTGATGAGGAATATATATCACAAAAAGCCTATTACACAGCCCAACAAAGTTCTAGAAGCGTTATATCTCCAAAAACCTGTATAAAAGAAAATACGTTTGCTTGATGGCCAAGAAATGTGATTGTTACTATATAAAACCCAAAATATTTGCTTAAAAACAAATTTTAAGCATTTACTCAAAATTTTGGAAATTTAACTTTGTAACTTTGTCGGGCTGGGTACGAAGCTTCTTGTGATATAGATTACTCATCAATTAACACAGCAGTTTTAGCGTAATTTTTGATTAATGGAAAAAAGCCAAAATGAGCTATTTTTGGGGTAAAATATTGGTTGAGAATTTCGGAGAAAAAAATTGCACCATATTAACTCTGATGAAATTCTAAAACTTTTGATATCTTCATTTTTTGTCTAATCTCAACCCAAATTGAGAAAAATGCGTTTGAAAATTCATGTTTTGTTCGTTTTGTCCTGATAATTAAAATCAGCACTGTATACCTAAGGCAAGCTAAGCTGTACAACAAGAGCGATGATATCAACTCAAAATTATTAGATTAAACTTTTTAAAATTATTAAAACAAATAATTGGAAATGTATTTACGAATGAACAGCGTATACATTCTAGCAAATTCATTGGAGAACATAAAAACTGAGCTGCACAACGCGAACATTAAAAACAACAAAAGAAAGATTTAACAGTAAAAAACGCTGAAAATAAATTGAAAAGCATTGAAAAATAAAAATTACCCGATAACCGGATTTGAACTGCCAAGCTCAAGATTATGAACTTTTCGTCAAGTGACTAAGTAAGCCAGCTGCTCTATAGAGTCAACACACCATCAACCAAGAGGGGAAGTTGCACTTCGCAAACACAGTCAACAAAAGTCGAAAGGAAGCTTTAAAATCCACGAAATACAAAAAAAACAGCCAACAGATAGTTGGAAAAGAGAAACACCCGGACTTACTTTTTGAAAAAAATCAACTGTCGATTTTCCAAGTAAAAAATAGATGGACTTTCTTCTTATAAATCTTTTTTTAAATGAGTTAACAAAAATGAGTAACTAACCCAATTTGATAAAACTAACCCAATTTGAGAAAACTTGAAAGATAAAATTTTTATTTCGCTGGGAAATTCGATAATTTAATTCCACTTTCAAAACTGAACACTATTGCCCTGCTGAACACTTCGTGACCTTAACACTTTTGCTGTTAGACAGTCGAGTTTGCCTTCCTTTTAACAAAAAATGAACTCGCATTAATGCAATTGCGCTTGCTTGTATAGCGATAAACTTGAGTTAAGCCCATTCATCGTATTGTTCACGCACCCGAAGTCTAGATTCAACAAAAAGATAGATCCCAGCTTAAGTGTTCAAGGTATAATTTTAAACTGACCTTTTCTGAGGTATTGGGTGGTTTATTTTTGCTGTATTTCTGGTGGAATGATTTTATCTCGCGACTGAATAGCTCCAATTCGGCATGTGAGAGTTGGTTCAGTCTACTCATTCCCCCTTTGCCACACTCGTACACCTAAAAAAAATCAGAGCTGCAAAAACACGTTTTGAGTTTCAAAAAAAAACGTTTTAAACATGTTTAAAAAAAAATTAAGCAACCAAGCATTTTCAAGCAAGCGCTTGATGGGAGTTTTTGAGTTTTTCAATTCCAAGCAGATTGCGAATATCATTCTGGATAAAACCCATTGAGCTGAACAATCTCTCAAGCTCTGCGGAGCTCGGCGAGAGCTTCTCCGTATTTATTGCTACTTAAGCTGTTTTAAACGCTGAAATATGTAAAACTCTAAACACTGTAATAAACGTGTTTTAAACAAAACATGTTTTTAACATTGCAACTCTGGAAATAATACACGTTTCACAAAAACTTACGGAAAAAAATAACAAGCGCAGTGGGGGAAGAAAGAAAAGCGTGGATTACCCTTTGGATTCCTGGGGTCCACAGAGGTGTGGTTTCGATAGAAGAGAGCGATTTGTTGACTGAAGATGTGAACTTCAAAATCTGCTGCCGGATCTTCTCTGCGTAGTGCTCCTGAAAAAATCTCATTTTTTTTGCTCCTGGCCACCCTGTAGTTTAGCACTGTTCAAAACTTCTACCTTCATTAAGCTACTTATGTATTAAATGGCAAACAATGGCTTTAGAAGGCTAATTATTTATCATATAAAATGCATTCACCGATATTTGATGACCCGAAGCTGAGCTTTGTTGTTGCGTTTGCTGCCCTTGTAAATTCACGCCTGTCCCTGAATGTTGCGTGGAGACTGGCATGGTATTTTCGACTGAACTCGGCGCCACAGGCGACGGATTACTCATCACGTTGTTAAAACTCGAGTTGGCTGCCGATGTTGAGAGATGAGGAGAGTACGCGTGCATTCCCACTCCACTTGGAGACGCCATTTGAACTGCCGGCGAAGTTGATGACATCATTGAGTTGGGGTTCTAATTGAGGCTACATTATTAGAGCACGGGCCAAGAATCAATGCTTAAACTTAGTCTTCTTGAGCATTCAGTGCAGTCTGTTGATTAAACGTCTTTAATTGCTTCACACCCTGCACTATTTCTGCAGTTCCTATCCAAATTAAAACTATTCTATTGTTGCTATTATTAAAATACAAATTTAAATTCGATTCATTTGCCTCTATTTAGTTAACTGAGATTATAGACTATTTTTCGTGTTCTTTTTTTACCGAAGTCATCTGGGCTCCGATCGTTAGTTGAGACGATGGGTGCTGTTGATGTTGTAGTTGACTGGTTGGATAGTGGTTGCTGTAGCCACTGAGTGATGAGACGTTGGACATGGCTGCCGCCGCCGAGATGGGAACCTTGAATCAAAGAGTTCCTTCACAGATACAACCATGTCATCTTTTAGAACATCTCCAAGCAACAGTGCTTTAAATTGAAGGTTTATATTTGTTTTCTAAGAATTCAATTACATCTTTTACAAGGTTCCTTGAGAAAATTACTCAGTGTCAATCAATGAAATTTCTCTTTTCACGATTTGTAAATAGATTTGAAAATCACGCTAAACATTATCGCCTACGAGTCAATTAAACCTTCGACAAGCCCTCAATTTAACTTTTAACATTCTCAAAAATAACTACTTTCTTGCATGATTTGAGGCTCGTTTCCTTTACTTACCATTAGGTCAGGTCCATTTGCGACCATTTTAAGACCACCGACTGCAGCTGCTGAGGAACTGTTCATGCCTGTGTTTGGTGACGTCATCATCACAGCCTGGGAAGATGGCACATTCCCAACGGCCGGCTTCACGGCTTGTCCATGCATACCTAAGAGGTTAGGGAGTTCAGCATGGTGCCAAAATTAGTAAACCTTCAAATCTAAACGAGGGCTTAAAACGACTGAACCAATTACGATTTCATTAATTAGAGCTCTTTGTTCTTTGCCCAACCCGAGATTCCTCGAGAAAACACACCTTTATCTGGAAATGATTTAGCAGGGTTTTGTAATGATACGTTGGATGAATGTTTGTTTAGCCACTGTGCTCAAATTCAACAAACTGTTCTCTTGTCTCAAAAAATAAAACCATGCGAACGTAAGCCATGCCATCATGAGGTTTTCAGACAAATATCCACAACCGTGATAAGAGCTGACTTAGCTTGATAACTTCACTGTATTAACCCATCATAGCTGGTGCTCCTTGTTGCTGTCCAGATGTCGGGAGTCCAACCCCCTGTTGAGGAATACCCCCTGGGAGGGAGGACATCGAAACCGGCACTCCAGAAGATGCAGTTGCCATCCTGCCCACACCCTCTACACCTCCTGCTCCCCAGGGGACACTGCTCACATTGCCCCCATGTGGTAACCCCACTGGCCCTCCCCCACCTTGCATCCGATGCTGCATTTGGGACATCAGGTTTCCCTGTTGAAGATAAAGCAGTTGCTAACTAATTGTTCCAATTAAACATCGTTCTCTCGGAATTGAGTTCTCTTGGATTCGAGAGTCCCTTTCGGCAATTTTGGACTCGGGAGTTACAAATCACTTAATGGTAAGCAATTTTGAATTCGGGAAATTGATTTCCACGCTAAATTATCTATCACAAAGACCAGCCGAAATTTCAGCTAAAGGATTCCGCATCCAAAAAAAAATATTAAAATTATTGAAAAACGCATTGTTTTAATCCAATTTATGTTTTTTTTTAGATAAAAATAGAACATATGCAATATAAGATTCATTAAGATGAAGGGTAAACTGTCAATGAACTCAAACCAATATTCAAGAAAATTTGTTGTCTTGAAATCTTCATAAAAAGTACCTAAGCCAAACGGTATTTTTTATTCCACTGAGAAATCATTTTGGTATTAAAGTCCCTTTTCGAAAAAAAATAATCTTGCACAATTTCCCACCGCAAAAATCAGATTTGGGCATGAAATTTTAAGACATTTTCTTGAAAAAAAAACAAACAAAAACAACACTACGTGATTGAATGCCTTCACTGCGTTTATTGACACTTGAAAAACATACGATTCTACCAATAAAAAGTGTCTTCTCTTTGATAAATATAGGATACTTTTATCCTCAAGAACACAAACAGTTGCGAATACGGCAGTTCGAATAAAAAAAAGACAACAAGCAAAAAATGCCAGAAAACTAATTAGCCAAGCAAAAAAATTTTTTCTCTTTTAAATCTTAAAAAGGAAAAATCTCTTTATTTTAAAGACCAAATAATACTATTTCCATTAAGCATCATATTAAGCAGTGTAAAGATCTGAGGACGAAACAAGCTATATATTTTAGAGCGTTGAAAAACTCAGTTTAGTGGAACTTTTTAATGGCTCACAAGGAATGGTTGCAAAAACCGTTGAGAAACAAATCTCCAAAGATTTTGTTAAAATATGCGATTGAGGCGAGAGAAGTTACATAGAAAAATATTTGGTCTATTCACACCATTTAAAAAAAATGTTCGTTCTTTTGCCCTTACAATTGTTTATTTTCGTTTGCAAGTGTGCTTTTTCTATCCAACAGATATTCTCAGCGGGCAAAAAAAATTAGTCTCTGAAATTAAATGAACTACGCTAGATCATTAAGTGGTAAAATTAGGCAGAGTCTGAGCTGCACTTTGCAAAAAAAACGGGAAAAACTCGACAAAGGACAAAAGCTGTGACTCATCTACATTCTTCCTATGGAAACTGCGTTCATTGATACTTATTACTAAAAACCAACCCAATTGAGAAAACTGGATCGATAGATTATTTTCTATTCCGCTGGGAATTTTCAAAAACAATCCATTTTTGAAGATGTTTTCCGCGACAATTGATATTTGTTTTTTTTGGGGAGAGAAGAAGTTTGCCTTCCCTATAACATAGAATAGGACAAAAAATCTAAAAATAAAGCAGCGAAAGATCAAATTGAGCGCGATCAATTTTAATACTTCCTGAAAAAGGAAACCCACAAGAACTTCGTTCCTTGACTTTTAATAACTTCGGAACAATGCATGTCAAGTTTTCATCGAAAACAAATAAACCCTTAACTATTGTTTTATAGATGCAAAATATTTTTTATAAAATCCAAACATAGCCAACAGAATATTGCAAAATATACCAAAATTACCATTTGGTACCCTTTTCGATGCGCCACTTGAGTTACACACAATTTTGCTCCAGTTGCGCTAAGAACACAAACACAAACATAAGTAGAAATTAAATGAAAAATGTTGAAAAAATGGACTTTGCACAAAACATTGGTTTATTATAAACTAAAGTGAGAGGGAACATTTATGAGATAGCATAAAGGACATAACACTTTCTTTGCGAAAAAAATTAAGTAGTCAATGAAAAATTCTCACAACCGGTTCTTGCAACCTTGATAGGGTAGTTTGTAGAAGAAGTCAAAAAGTGGACTGTGGGGAGCTTCAGTCACACGGCCTGTTTTTTGATTGAAAGCAGTAAAACTGAGACTTGGGAGGATACCTCGATTTTTTGGGTAAAGAAAACCTGGGCGTGGTCGCTTATACAAAAAACTTATCACAAGCCGTTCTTTGAACGGAGGCCCAAAATTTTCAAAAAACGAAGAAAATTTTTTTAAATTGACTTTTTCGAGGGCGATAACTTTTTATGTAAAAAAATTTGGGAAGGGCCGCTACTGCATTGGATTGCATTTCCAATTCCCGTTTTCTTCATTGACCCCACAATCCCTGATTTGGGAGGGTAGTTTTGAAGAAAAATCTAACATTTTCAACAGGGGTAAACGGTTAAAAAATCAAAAATTTGATTTTTCTGAGAATCATAATTTTTGAGCAAAAAAATATGGGCGTAGCAGCTACGCAGAAAAGATTCACGCATGAACCCAAAAACTCGGATTTGAGAGGGTAGTTTTTGAGAAAAATCAATAAGGTTAAAAAAACTGTCAAAAATCAATTATATGACTATTCCCAGGTCCGCAAGTTTTTATGTAATTGAATTAGGGCGTAGCCGCTCATGTATAGAAGCGTTCCACAAGCCATTCTATTCCTTGAAACCAAAATCTCCAATTTCTAAGGGTAGCTTTTAGGAAAACGAATAATACAAAAACAAGGTTCAAATAATAACCCACAGATCTGTTCGAAGGCTGCAGAATGTGGGTCAAGTAAAAAGACTAGTGGATTATACACGCACACGGGGAAGCAAAAAATCTAATCCCATCTATTTTCCTGGTGTCTGGTTATATCAAGCAATAATTCTAGACAAAGATGCCAAGCAAGACATTTGAAATATAAATTAGCAACGGAACCAAATTTAGAAAGCGGCAAAAGCAATGTCCTGTCGAGATTCGAATACCAAACCTTAGAGTACAAAAGCGACTGCGTTACCTCCAGGCCAAATGAGAAGGAATATGGAAAATTTAAATAGTAATAATAGTTCAATTTGTAAAACATTTGTTTACGGGAAAAAAGTCTAGCTCCCGATTACAAGATACTGTATACTGTAGGCACGTGTAAATAAATGATTCTGAACTATCACAGCAGGAAAAAATATAACAATCATTTGATTTGGAAGCTGTTGGAGCGCGCTTAATGAACGCGAGCAAACAGGAAAAAAATACATATCGTTTTTAGAAAACCGTTCATATATGGATTTTAAAACACTTTTGAATACAGCTATTTTTAATTTTTGAAAACTTTTGACAAAAATACTAATTTTTTAAATAGAGGTGAGGCTTAGCTTCGCATACACTTGCGAGAACACAAAAAGCAGCTCTATAAAAGGCAAAAATAAAACTTTCTCGAATTAGTAGAAAAAAAATTCGGCTACCTCTAAGATTCGAACATGCGACCTAGAGATTAAGAGTCTCACACACTAACCACGACAACTTAAAGGTCACCGAACACTAGCCACAATTAAAACAGAGAACAGATGCTATGCAATTTCCAAAGCTACAGTGAAATTTTCAAATAAGTGAACACATTTAATGAATACTTTTATTTGCATTTGAGTAAGGTTAGAAAAAAAAAGATCGCAAGTGTAAAAAAAAATCAGTGAGAAAATTTATCAATCTAAATGGAAATTCTTTAAAAACCCAACTTCAAAACTTTAGAGTCCAATCAAATTTGAAGTAAACAAACGAAGAAACCATCAAATTTTAAATTTGAAGTGAACAAACAAAGAAAACATCAAATTTTAAACTTTTTCCTGGAGAAAAAAATTCAAGATAAAAAACAAATGAGCGTGAAAAATAAGACTCAATTTCAACTTAACAACACAATGCATTTGCTAAAATTTTAAAAAAATATATATATATCTCATTGAATCGCTTTTTCGTCCATGAACAGATTTTGGCACAGAGGCGAAGCTTCGCTTTGCAAACACTAAGCAGAACACAATAAAAACAGCTCTAGAAACTTTCATAAAAACAGAAATGAGCTTCAAATTAGCAAAAGTTTGGCTACATCCAAGATTCGATCTGCGACCTACTGCAATCGCGAGATTTTGAGTCTCACGCACTAACCACTCAGTCACGCACACTCAACCACCGTCAAACACTAGTCACAAATAAAGCAGCTACATATGCTAATAAACTGCCAATGCGATTCTGCAAAAAAAGGTACCAAATACCAACAATGTTGCAACTAATAATTTGGAATATACCAAACTGAAGGCATCCAGGCTAAATTTGAATGTAAGAAATCGAAAAGCGTAGAGCCACATTATGTATAAATTATGCGTTTCGAAAAATTGCGAGGTATATTGAGTTAGAAAATTTCTGAAATCGAGTTTTCATTATTGATGTTGTTTGAAACAAAGCGCTTTTTGGTTCATTTGATGAATTAAAAATGCATCAACTGTGTTAACTTATTACTATTCGAATGTCACAGCACATGCTATCAAAAAGCTGTAACGGTGCCCCAAAAGTGGCACTAATGTTTGCGACTTAGGTTAGAAAAAAAACGTTCTTAATAAAAGTCTAAGCTGACGCTAGTGTACAAAATTTAAAAACCGCCGCTTTACGCCATTTCTTACAAATCCACTAGCCCTACAATCATGCTCAAATTCACTGTTAGAGCCAGTCGTGCCTGTTGTTGTTGTTGTTGCTGCTGAATCATCATTGGGTTGCCTTGAGGAGGCATTTGGGCCGATGGCTGTTGTTGGGCACTCATGACGTAATTGTTCGAAATGGGCACCCGAATCAATTGTTGCTGTTGCGAAGTGACCACCTGCTGTTGTTGATACATTTGTTGTTTCTGAATATGCTGCTGGCGCTGCTGTTTCAATGAATCTAGTTTCTAAAAAAAAACATTATCATTCTTACAGGTGTATTAAAATTTTTCATTCACCATATTTTTCTTCAATAAAATTTTATATTTTCTTTTCAACTAACTAATTTTTACAGATCCGTTTTATGGTCGAAAACAGACCGCGTTGCGGATTTGCAGTTTTCGGTCACCAATTTAACTTATGGAAAAAATGATTCCACAGGAAATAATTTTTATGGGTTTTTAAACTTCATACTTTGAATTTGACGAAGTGGTTGCTAAAAACGGATGTTAATTATTAACTAAAACTATAACCTTTTTGCTACTTTTGCTTCAGATTAACTGTTACCATTTTTTCCTCTAAGATGACTATTCTCGCCCTGAGACCCCTGAAAACAGATTAGCCATAAACTCTAATGGCGCTCTCTCAAGTGCTTGGTACTAAAACTATGGATAGTTTCATCATTTGAACACAGGCGCTACGCGCAATACACCGAAGGCATAGAAACTGAAGCAAAAACCAAACAACTTGAACAACTAATAATTGAAGAATAACAGTTCTAGAACAAAAAATCGTACTAATACATGTATACACCAAAATTTTGCTATATCGAGAAAGAGCCTGAAATAACAGTTCTAGAACTAAAAATCGTACTAACACATGTATAGGTTAAATTTTTGATATATCAACGAAGATCATAAAATAACTTCTAGAACTAAAAATCGTACTAACACATGTATACACCAAAATTTTACTATATTGACAAAGGGCCTGAAATAACAGTTTGTGAGCTAAAAATCGTACGAACACATGTATACACCAAAATTCTTTCTGAAAATATCCTAAACAGAACAATAAATTGAAAATCATTTTTTGCTTTTAACTACATAGCTAAGAAGTAAAACATCAAATTTCACAATCAAACAACAAAGACGCTAACTAAATAAATAAATAAATGAACGAACAAACCAACAAATGAACGAACAAACCAAAAATAAATAAACATAAATAAATAAATACATACATGAATAATAAATAAAAGCAAAACTAAATGAAAGAAAATAATTAAATAAATATAGCAATAAATATCAACGAATAAACAAAACACACCTGATAAATAAATAAACAATAAAAAAATAAATCAATACATAAATAAATAAATACATACATAAATAAATAAATAAACAAATAAATAAATAAACGCAAAACTGAAATGTACAAATAATTAAATTAACATGAAAAAATATATATCTCATGAACAAATAACCAAACAAACAGACCCATAATATAAATAAATGAAAGTAAACGAATTAAATAAATACACATACATAAATAATAAAAGCAAAACTAAATGAAAGAAAGAATAATTAAATAAATATAGAAATAAATATCAACAAATAAACAAAACACACCTGATAAATAAATAAGCAATAAAAAAATAAATCAATACATAAATAAATAAATAAATACATAAATAAATAAATAAATAAATAAATAAATAAATAAAAGCAAAAGTGAAATGTACAAATAAATAAATAGACATGAAAAAATATATATGAACAAATAACCAAACAAACAGACCCATAATATAAATAAATGAAAATAAATAAATTAAATAAATACACACGCAGAAATAATAAAAGCAAAACTAAATGAAAGAAAGAATAATTAAATAAATAAACAAAACACGTGATAAAAATAAACAAAAATAAATATGTACATACATAAATTATAAATAAATATAAGCAAACTAAACATAATTAAATAAATAGAAGAACAGATAATTAAATAAATAAAGATGAACAAATAAAGAAACAAACATACGCAATCACGTGACATAGCGCGATATAGTCCAGCCCACATGATAATTGATAACTGTGGACGTTATTTGTCGACACTTGACAACAGACAACATTAAAAAAAAAAACCCGTTACACGATACCATAACACCTTGACTAAAGTCTTCGGTGTAAATATAAGCTCACTTAACAAAAATATAATATTATTGTTCCGACTTTCATAGGGGTTGGAAAATTTTTCATAGGGGTTGGAAACTTTTCATAGGGGTTGGAAAATTTTTAACTCGAGCAAAGCAATGCGCTTGTTACCATTTTTATTTTAACTAGTAGCGTAGGCGGCGAGCTAAACTGGCTCAAAAAACTCATTCTAAAAAAGGTTGTAGGTAGAAGCGAAAAACAATTTAAAAACAATTCTTGCCGGTTTAGTTTTTTTTTGAAAATTGTAGGTAATTTTTAATCACAAATTATTCGAAACACCTTAGGGACAATGAGAGCATTCAATACTTTGCCCCGACACGAAAAGTATTGTTATTATTAAAACTAACTATGAGGAACCTTGGGTTCCCTCCCTTTTAATAAAAAACTTTTTAATAGTATTTTAACAATAAAAGTCCGTGGAAAGCTCCTAATTGGCTGAAAAACACCACCACCATATTACTGAGCTTAAAAACATAATCTGCAGCTCAGAATTGAAATTAAATTTGCACAAACCAACGTTTTGGACGAGCCGAGAAAAGACTGGGATAAATAAGAAGTTAATCCTAACAGCAAAATATATAACTAGCGATAACACCAGGATAATAACAACATTATCATACTAACTGCTCGTAACATTTGGGGGTACTCCTGAAGAGAGGGTGCACTGTTCCAAATCTGCTGCTCAAACCTGGCCGCCTCCTGCTCCGAAATACCCAAAGAGTCCACAATACCCTTAACGTACGCATTCCTCTTTGGCGTGTACTGCGGGTGGTTCCTCCAATCCATCTCAAACTTAACTGTTCTTCTCAGTCACTCAAAGAAAGCAAAACAAACTCTGAAATAAAAAAAATCAATCAAGCCATACAGTCAAAAAAATAGCCTAATGACGATAAAGAAAGCTGCATTATCAATTAGTGCATTTCGAGACAACGTGCTTGGTAAATTTCAAAACCTGTAGCCAGGGTTGCAAAAAAAACATGATTCTTACAAAAAAAAGTTTTAAACATGTTTAAAACAAAAAAAAACATACATAATTGACAAAATTAGCTGCTCAGCACACGTTTTATGAAAGTTAGTTTTTCAAGTTTTTCCATGCCAAGACAGTTTCGAAGGTCGTCTTGGATATAGCCCATTGTCGAAAACATTATTTCGAGACCAGCTGAACTGGGGGACAGTTTGTCCATCTTCAAAGCGATTTCTCCAATTTCCTTCGAAATCTTTCCCATTGCTATTTGATAGTTCAAAAAAATTTACTCTTTTTTGTCTGTGTATTCTTGGAATTCATTTTTTAGAACCGGTAAGTTCTCTCTAATAAAGTTAAAGACTTCACTGTTGCATTCCGGTTGTAGTCACTATTGCATTCCGGCATCAGTTGTAGTCTAGGTGTAGTTGTTGTAGGTAATATCAAGTCAGCTTTTAACGTTTATAAATTAAAAGTGACCCCTTATTACGGTGTAACTCATGTTTATTGGGACAAATCTCTGTGAAAGGTCTCGGAATATAAGCGCTATTTGTACGGTTCTAACTTGGCTTACAAATCACTGATATTGCTACTAACCATTTGACCGGAATGAAATTTCGGATTCTAATTGATTTTCCAATGATTCTCAATTGTATAACGCGCTCAGAAACAGTTCAAATATTGACCAATCATGATTCGTTGTTTTAAACGCTGAAATTCGTGTTATTTTAACCAGTGTTTTAAACGTGTTTAAAACATGTTTTACACAAGCTCTGTTTTAAACATTGCAACCCTGCCTGTAGCTGAAAAGTAAATTTCAATTTTCATACATCAGATTTTCATGCGCTTAATCAAAGTATAATACAAAACAAGTTATACGCAACCAGAAAAATTGAAGTACCTAGCTACAGTACAGAAAGTTGTCTCAGAATTGAAAATTATCTGAGACAGAATTGAGAATTATTGAGAATTATCTGAATTGAGAACTTTTCTGTTTTACTGACTAAACGACCCAAAATTTACACACCAGAGGCGAAGCGGTGCTCACTTGCGATACCAAACAGACAGAGTATTGCAAGCTGGATAGCAAAAAAAAATAAAAAGCACTTGTGTCGAAGAAAATTGAAAAAACGTCAAAAACCAAATTTAAATATATTTCCTAAGCTTGTCTGGATTGATATTCAATTTGCGAAAAACACATCCAAAAAAAAAGCACCGACGTGGAATAAAAAATTCAAAAACGAATGACGAGTGGCAACTATGCCTATAAAACTTAGGTTATGCCGAAAACAAAAAGGTTCTGAAAACTGAGCTAAAAAGTTACGAAATTCTTAGATTTTTATCTTTCCTTAGATTTTTATCTTTAGATTATTATATTTCACCCCCAAAAGACGCAAAATTAGATCACTAAGCTGCTAAAAATAAGAAAACGATTATGGCCGAATAAATGGGCTAGTAAATTTACAAACAACAGGATTAAACCAAAAATACTTGCAAAAACAGTGAAAATTGGTTACAGAACAAGAAACTTCCAGGATGTGGCAACTAAGCCGATAAAAAATAAGCAGATATGTAATCTTCCGACATTTTTTTTCCGGAAAATAAAAAGGTCCTGGCCCGAACCGAATCTAGATCTTTGGCCGTCCCAGTCGTAGTCGCTACCTCTACACCAATTATGCCGGAAAAGTTGAATTTGTTATGCATCAAGCAATCAAATTATTCAGTGAAAAAATCCATGTTACGAATTGAAATAACGCTTGCTTATCGCAAGCGTAAACGATATGAAGCTGACCTCTCATTTTCAACAACTTTTCTGAAGCTTTTTAATTTTAATTACTCTGCTCGGAACATTCTGTGCTACTTGCAGAGGAAACGGATATCCTTTATTTTAAATAGAAAAGTTTCTTAAAAGGAAACTAAAACAGAGGATTGGTTGCACTACAGGTCGCCTTAATAATTTGTTCGAATTAGGCAAGATATCGAATTTTTCGGATTTTCACATAAAAATTTTGGGGTTTTAGGTAGTCATTTCTCTCTGGTTGCACTAATATTTTGTTCGAATGAGGAACTCTCTTAATTAAAATACCTGAATGTTTTTTGCATGCTTTCGAGCATTAAATTTGCCTATTCAAGATATGCGTCTACAGTTCACGCTGAAGGGTTTTGAGTTGAAATGATAACGTAGCAATAGAACAACTAAAAAAGTTTTTTTTAAATGTTTTTAAGGTGATAGTTAAAATGAGAACACAGAGGCGAAATGAAGCGACATCGAAGCTTTGTACGACTTGCATTACATAAAAAAAAGACCAGAAAAATAAAAACACTTTTGTCTTGTGCCGAAATCGAAACCAAGGCCTGGAGATTACGAGTCTCACTTCCTCGCATCTGCGCCATAAGCTTGCAAATAAAGAAACACAAGCCACCAATAAAGCAAGTACAGATGCTATTTAATATCCAACTTCATGCCACCATATGAAACTAAAACTTTGCTATGTACCCTAATCGAACTTCCAACCTAAAAAATAAGCGGCTGACGACTCCTCATCTGCTAAACGGTCAGTTGAAAATTCACTCTAACACTAGCCAGCAGCAAGAGATGTAATTAAGTTGCCGATGCTATGCATTGAAGCAAAACTGCCACCAAAAGAGCGATTTTGTTTGCGAGTTAGGCTGAAAAAAGTAGAGTTCGGAATATGGCAAAACGCTCGATAGCTTATTTGTGTTAATCTAAAGCTTCGCAATGCTGCTTATTACATGATTGCAAGCACAAGCTTTCATTTTAATCGAAATTAAAATCAGAATTAAGGCGAAAAGCGTCAGTTCCAAACTAGGGAGACAAAAAGCTATCATTTGAACCCAAAATCTAAAAATTGAGCGCGATATAATTGATCAATAGTTAAATTTATTATTCCACTGAGAAATCTGAAAACTCCACTGGATCAATAGTTAAATTTATTATTCCGCTGGGAAATTTGAAAATTAAATTCAAAACTAGAAGTCAATTACGTTTTCGTGACTTTAACATTTTTGCTGTTGGGTTGTGGAGTTTGCCTTCCTTTTCATAAAGTAAATGAAGTGAACGTAAAAAGAAATCATATGTCAAAACGCGAAAAGTGAATTTAAGCCTGAACAAATTCTAAGACTGTTCCTGGAAAAAAAACGAAAGAAAAAATCATCAGCACCCTATATAAGAGTCAATGAATACTACGTTCAATGATTCTTAATAAGACGAAAAATTGAAAGTTCAATAAGAGCAAAGATAGGCAGGCTTCTTCAATGATGTCATATAATATCGATGCAAACTTGCCAGGCAGAACAAACATTAGAACAGTGTACTAAACCCTTCGAGAGATAAACTATTCACAACAGCTTGAAAAACTACACGCAAGACTTAAAAAATTTTGTATTAAAAAGTTTAGCCTTTGTTTTCACTTCAATGTGTCGACTCTTTTGATCGAAGTTTCATTTATTTATTTTTTCATTTCACAATTCTGTTTCATTTCGTTTAGAAACAGCATTGTGAAATGAAGAAAAAAAAGAATTGAAGCGTCGATCAAAATGGTCAAAACATTTGAGATCAAGTAGTGAACCCAGCTACTATATCATGAAAAAAAACAATGAAAGAGTATCTCTTCCATTCTAATTCAAATCAGTGTTAGTATGCAAACAAATTTTGGTAAATATTAACTACAGATATAATAACACTCTAAAACATACTTTTCCATTAACTTTGGTATATTAATTATATATCTACTCTAAATCATACGCAAAATATTGAATTCGCAGGTCACTTAGGACAAAAGTGTAATCTAAAGCGGATCATGTTCAAACTTGATTAATTTTAATCTTGAGCTCGATTGGTAGACACTTATGAGCATTATTTTTCCATCCAGTTGCAGGAGGCCAATCGCTGAGAGGAGCTGAGTCATTATAACACGAAGGGTTTTCATCTCCTGCCTTCCCACTAATGCACCACTTCCCTTCAGCTGTTTTGTATATGAACTGTCCTTTATGAGGCAAACGATACTTCTTCACCTTAACGGGTTCGTACCTGGTTTCATTTCCACACAAATTCCTAAAATATTTATCGCTTCGAATGTCTTTCGCCGATGCGGTTATGACAATTTCGTCTCGGAAATTAGTTCTGTCCAAAGCTGCCCAGGGTTTACTAATGAACTCGCTGTTATCTAAACTGTCGAGTGTAATAAATGTGCTAGCTCGTAAGTTCGCTAACGCCATCCACTTTTCTTCTTCATTGAAGAATTCCCAACCAGTCAGTGGAGGAGTGTCTGTTACAGCTTGAGTGTTTTGAAGAGTCAGGTTTCGCAAGATACATGTAGGATGATATCCTTCTCCCACGTGAGGAGAACAGAACCAAGCATTGTTAATCGACCTGTACAAAAAAAATGGCAGACTTGACCATCCGCCATTTTTCTCAGTCGTTTGTAAGTATTTAGCAAAATAAATTGGCTCTTGGTCAGTTGTTCGCACAAATTTCATGGTCCACACGCATTTCGGCACAATCGATATAGTTTCTCTTGTAACTGTTATAGTATTTATAGATTTTTTTGTTTCATATAACCCAAGCTTCGCGGATTGGACACAAACTACACGTTCGCCTGTGTCTTTGTAAAACGCCTCTCTCACTTTTTTACTTCCATCTATAGTGCCTAAGATTACTACAGTAGCGTTCTCTTCCCCGTAAGGTATCAATACAGGGTCGTATTCTATATCAAAGCTCAGTGGGAGCTTTCTATTAGAGCACGTGTATTTTTTGCCTTCCGATATGTAAGGATAAACAGATTGCAGTAGTGAGTTCTTCATTGATCCCAATTCATTCTTTTTAGTTTCTTTGTTCAGATTGAAAAATC